ACAATTTTAGGGCTGAAAAATGTATTTAAACTCTGTTAAAAACTGCAAAAACCAACATATGCAAATGTAAACTTATTCCAAGATTGACAATCTAAATCATAATAACAATAATCTGCAGTAATTTAATATTTATGAGGAAGAGGAACAAAAACCAATCACTGGTACCCTGGATGCTTAGTCTGTTTTTTGATAACTTACTGGAAGAACCCTTTAAAAAAGGAAAGAAATTGGTAAATTTTAAAAGAGCATATCACCACGATATGGGTAAAGTGGTGATTGTTCCACTGTCTTTTTCATCTTCTAAATTTCAGTCAAAAAGGCACCTCCATAGTTTTGTAAGTTCAGGATAGTACTTTCTTATGATAATACACTACGCTCTATCCAGGTACTTCCCTCACCTGATGAAAAGCAGTGTGAAATAAATCATTTCCTGCTAAGTCCTACATGTGACAAAGGACATCTGTGGAATATTTCCAAACTTTCCAAAGTTTGTGTGTGAAAACAACTTCAGTAAACCTTATTTTTAGGAATCATTGTCTTCTGTTTTGTTGTTTACCATGAATCAGCCTGCAATCTCAGGTGATCTGAATCTGTTACTCAAGGTTTCTCCCTGGTGTGTTTACATACCGACAGCCATAACTGAAGCTCTCTCGCTGCCCTCCACAACATCTGGTGGGAAGGTAAACGTAACGTTTCTAGACAGGCTCATCCCTGCTGGTAAAAGCTCAAGCAGCAGGGAGGTGGAAAATGACTGTTCAAGACCTTCGGCCTGCAGGATGAATGGACATGCAAAAGATGAAGGCAAACAAAAATGGTGAGTAAGAAATGGGAAACGCAGAGCTGTGAAACCAGGTCAACATTTCTTTAGTTACAGTGGAGTAGATGGCGAGGATTGGTAACGTTAGCAGAGTTCCCTGCCTGTTTGTGCTTTAGATGGCTGACAGGCACTTTACAAACAGGATATACACGTTCAACTTCCACTGTCACAATTTCACAAGTTATTTTGTTATCTGTTAAAACCTGGAAAATGCTCCTTCTCAGTAAAAGCTAATAGAGAGATTTGCTGCCCCTCAGGCCTAGAGACCAATCAGTAACCCCATAACAAGATCTAGTCAGACTAAAGACTAACAATGTAGTAGTCTTATAACAGGCTTGATTATAACAGAAGTTCATA